GATTCCTTTGTGTGGTTGAACTTAGGAATCTTTATTTTTACCCTCGGATTTTGATTGGTCATCAAACTCGTGAAGTGTTTCTAGCCTCAAGCATAGTGAGTATTCTGTCTGTTTAAGGTAACCGACTGCAAAGGTAATCCCTCTAACTCTTAGCCTTTCGGGTTGAACCAACTATACGATTGGATTCAAGTGGCTTGTGGTTCGAGTAGCTCAATATGCTTGGGTTGTCACGTATCAAAGAAGATCACCAATTTTATCTTTACCCAACAACTCTATTTTTTTAAGTTGCTTTCAAACCTCTTTCACTAACATGACACAATCTTTTATGCCATAGGGATGACCTCTGAAACTTTGAATCAATGACTGCATTTACAAAGTCTATGATCATTCATCCTTGAAGAACATATAACCCATTCTTGAGAACTCCTTTTAATTTTAGCAGCGAACCTTTATAAACTTTCAAAACACCGACCTTATCCAAAGTACCAAGAGAGATGAGATTTCTCTTGAATCCAGGCATATACCTCACTAACGTAAGAAGTTTTTCAATACCATCAGCTAACCTTAACCTCAAAGATCCTATTCTCTTGATATTACACTTCTGATCATTTCCCATCAGAATGTTTTCCCCTTCATATTCACTAAAGTCTTAGAAATAATCTCTATGAGGATTTGTGTGAAAGGAACATCTAGAATCCAAAATCCACTCCTCTTCACAACGATAATCTGAGACTGCTAGAACCTCAGTTGATTATAACTATCATGTATGTTTGCTGAACTACCTTCTTCTTTTTTCTCTGCACGTTACCTTGCTTTATTTTAGCTTTCAACATATAATAATATCGTTTTATGTGTCCTTCTTTGTGACAACAACAACATTTCTTAACCTTTCCTCTTGATTTCGATCTAGATTTTCCACCGTGTTTACCTTGACTTGTATTTTTATGTTATGTTCTTCCACGAGTCAAAAGAACTTTTGCATCTTTCTTTTCTGATTTAATTTCCGGATCTTTTGATCAGAACTAAGTCTAAAGTTAATGAATCCCTACCATATTTAATCGCTGACTTAATTTCCTTGTAGCTCTCAAGTAATGAATTTAGCAATATCACTGCTTGGTTTTCATTTGACATTTTCTCCCCTATACTTGCAAATTCAAGGCAAATCTTGTTAAGTCCATCCAAGTTATCATCCAAGCTCTTAGAAGTATCCATCCTGAATCCAAAGAACCACTCCTTAAGATAAATTTTATTAGGCTCCGACTTACTAATGAACAAATTTTCTAACATAGCCCATAGTTTTGCAGCAATATCCTCCTCATCGATTTGACAAAGAACATTATCCTCTAAATATAGGTTAATCAAACTAAAGGCTATTTCATCCATTTCAAATCTGTTAGCTTCAGTAAGTGTTTCCAGTAAGGTTTCTGGCTCATCCATGGCTTGCTTCAGTAAGTGTTTCCAGTAAGGTTTCTGGCTCATCCATGGCTTTTGCGACTTTTTGATGAACCAATAGTGCACTCATTTTCTTCCTCCATAAACTAAAGTCGGATTTACACAACCACAGCACTAATTTCACAAAATAACAAGAAACCCAGCAACAACAACTTCAGATATCAACAATAAATGTGAAAATATTTCGATTTCATGGCCATATTAAATAGTCAGAAAAAGATCTTAGCAACGAACAACTTCAAATATCATCGATAAGTAGGAAATCCGACCTAACCTGGTTGTGATATCAAACTTTCAAACAAGAAAAATGAAGAAAATGGAGTAAGAAACGACACAATGGATTTATAGTGGTTCTACCATACATCCACTCTTCAATTAATATCTCAAACATTAATTAAAAAACAACTCAAGAAGAAAACGCCCTCTGCTCACATACCAAAAACAAGAATAGAGCAAAAAGCTTCTGTAAATTTTATGGCCTCACTATAACCTTCCAGTTCAGTAAAAACTACATACAAAGGCAAACCCATGTACTAAACCTAAAAATAGTAAATAGGCTGAGGTTAGAATAGGCTTGGTGTAAAACTTCTATCAAAATAAAAGGAAGTAAATTTGCTGATGTGTCAGTTTGATCACAAAACCATTTTGTATCAAGCAACAAACAGGAAATAATCAACCCTTGGAAATAAGTAGTGTTCAGAGTTGCAATATAAATGTAAGAAGAAAGAGAAGAAAAAAGAAAAGAGAGGGAAGTAGTTTACGGAGGCTATTGTGTTGAGGGAGGCGAACGACGTTGTGGCGATCTTTGGAAATAATTTCTTCTCATGTTTCAGCTTCTGAATCGGATTGGAATCTGAACAAGAAGCTGTAGACTCTGGACAATGGTTGACCCTCTTCTCTGCTCTCTCTCCCCTTATTTGGTATTTCTTTATTTTCATTTCTCACTAATTATATTTGTATATTGGTCCTTGCAATTTTAAAATTTACTCTAAAAATTATTTCATTTTTAGTCCTTCAAATTCTGAATTTTTAAATAGTATAATAGTTTGTGTCGTTGTCGCTGATGTCATTTAAAATTCGTTTGGTAATGTTCCGTTTCTCATTTCCAATTTTCTTTAAAAAACTCTATACATCTTGCAACTAACTATATTTCTTGTTTCTTATTTGTTGATAACATTCTTAAAATTGTATAGAAATTTTGGAAACAACCAAAATAAATTTCTTTTTTCTTGTCCCCATTTCTCATTTGCTCCAAAACATAAATAAGAATGATGTAGAACGATGGATTGCCATGATATCAGAGGCGGTTCCACGTGGGGACCACCCCTGAATTTCTGTTAAATACAAATGAAGTATATGACATTGCAGCCAAAACGTAACAGGTTCTGGTGGTTGCCCGTTCCAACTTAAATCCGTGCCCCAGTCTGTTTTTCTTCTTCTTTTTAAGCGCATCTTTATTGTTTTCTTTTCTTTTCTTTTTTTTTTCTTTGAGCACTTTTATTATTTTATTATTTATTTTTCTTTTTAATTTTAATTTTAATTTTTATTCTTATTGCCATTTTATTTTTACTTTTTTCTTTTGTAGCACTATTTTTAGCGTAGTTTTTATTTTTCTTTTTTAGATAGGTTTTTATAGTAATGTGATTGATTTTCAAGCCTATTTTTACTTTTAAATATCATTTTTTTAAATTATCTTTTATTTAAAATAAATAATTTGTCTAATTAAAATCTTTAATAAATTTAAATGTATAATTCTAAACTATTCATAACTTTTATTCCTCCCCCTCAATAAAAAAATTTACAAAAACTCTCTAATTTAATAAAAGTCAAAGTTTATGAAATTAAGTTTTATTAATACACAAAATATACTATTTTTTTTAGTAATACACAAAATCTACGGTTTAATAATCGGCCAAAACATATAAATTTAAGCTAAAAAAGTAACTCTATTGTCGTTTTAAGTTAAAAAAGTAACTCTATTATCGTTTTTTTTCCTACATCCTATCAATTTTGTTTTCATTTGACACACGACGTATTGTTTTCAACAATTTTTCAAATCAAAATCTATTAAAGGGTAAAATTTGCAATTCAATGAAAATTACAACACTCGTAAGGTGTAAATTGATACACATTGCCAAGTTTAAGTTTAAAATTGATATTTTTTCATCATGTTTATATGCATTTGTTCTCTGGACATAAAATCCTAGATCCACCGTACCACTGCATGACATAAGATTAACTTAATATATATATTTTTTTTTTATCAAAGTTAGGTGAACAGATATTTTACCGAATAGATTTTGTCCCAAAACACCTCATGTTGTTGTTGTCGCCTTAAAAAAGCCAAAAAGGAAAAGAAAACTAGAGGTTTAAAAATGGGGAAGAGAACGAGGAATGACTAGGGATGGAAAAAAATCCGTGGGACCTGATATCTACTCTGATCGCGTCGGGAAATCCTCGATTTGACTACGTACGAGATCAAATCCACAGAGATGGGTGGAAACAATCTCTGTCTCATCCTTGATCTTGCCTCTGTTTAATATTCTAATAATTTTAATTATTATATATATTAATAATATTAATAATATATTAAATTTAATAAATATTTTATCAAAATTAAAAACCTCAAAATTAATAATTCCCTTTCTCATATTTCATTAGGCGAATATCCAGACAAAGAAATTTAATTTAGATAGATGGTTAATCAATCAATTATTGTCTTAATTTTTTTTTAATTTGAGTACAATACATGAGGATGGATGATGGAACTCACAACCTCTTGGTCGGAGAAATATACCAATTACCGTTAAGCATAGCTCAATTTGGCATCAATTATTGTCTTAATTATGTTACCAAATTTGTAGTTTATAACATATGTCTTAATAAATTAATTAATATTATTTTAGATTGAACTAAAATATTTAGTTGGTAACTATTATTTGTTTGAAAATATATTACTAAACATCTTGAACAATTTTTTAAATTGAGATTCAATTAATTCTAAATTTTCTACCAAACACATATTCTAAAATATTGAAAACATCAAATACAACTTTGAATTTCATTAAATCCTATTGAATCCGACCAACCAAACGCATCCTCCTAAATCCTACGAACCTAAAGAGGGCATTATTGAAATTTAAAGATAACTGCATTTTGTTTTATATGAGAATTTATCGGAATTTTTCAGGAATAAATGATGTTTGTGTTTAATGTTGTGTTTGATAAAAAAATGACCAACTCTGTGAACTTCGACTCAGACTGAGAGCTGCTAGAAGGATGAGTTGGACGGGTGACCTGCAAAATAGAACACACTCCGATGCTAAAGTTTGTAGCTGGCCGAACTAAACTCGAGAGAAAAGTTAGTATTCGCATACCTTTTAATTGAGCAAATGGATCTTATTTATAGGCGAGATCCCCAACCATACGACAATGCCTCAACAACTCTTTAAGATTGCCGCAAAACTCGACGTGTTGTCGTAGAATCTGTCGAAGAAGAGGTTGAGTCGAAGTGGAGTAAGCGGTTCAACCAACCACTTGGAAACAATATTTAATATGGCTTGGTCGGCTTGGTCAGAGAGATCATGATCGAGGTAATGAAACTTGTGCCTTGACGGTATAAGACACATGCACCTCATATGATCAAATTACATCACATCACTTGTGAGTTGAGAAATCACATCCACCATGGACAATATTAATACATTTATACGTAAATAAATGTGTTTGGCTCGTGCCATTATTTCCAACCATTTTATGGGATTATAAAACATTAAAATAAATCAAAATATCTTACCTTTTTATATTAATTATGTTTGTAATTTATATGATATAATAAAAAATAATATATTGATTATTACTTCTTAGTGCAAATTAATTAGATTCTTAATGATGTGATTTAAATAATTTTAGCTAATTAATATGTTGAATTGTTTCTTTTTTTGTAATTAATTTTAAATTAATGTATCTCAAATTACTAATAAATTAATTATAAATTATATAAAATTTAGATTCTAATTATCTAGCTAAATTATCAATTGAATACCTTGATAATTATTACCAACCAAGGTTCAAAATGTCGATGACGATAGAAATATCGAGGTCCCGATTTTACAGACATGTCGATGTCGACAGATATTTGGAAAAAATCACGGAAATTGTGAAAAATAATAAAAATTATTTTAATTAGTAAATAATACTTTAATTGTAGCTTAATTAAGCTACAATCGATCACTTCTAACCATCCTATGTAAAAATATGAGTAATTTACTTATGAAAATGTTGATGTCGATAAAAATGTCGGAATAAGATAATGAAGATTGATAAAAATAATTTGAATTAGTAAATTGAAGTTCAATGTTGCTGGATTGTGTTTTATTGATAATTAATAATTTTAACCAATATAGTGTTTTATTACATAACTGAACAAGATATAAAATATTGATATATATACCTAATTATATTGAATTATTATAAATTAAATTATGAATTTGAAAATTTTGTAACTAAATTTGAAAAGAAAAATTGAAAGAAGAAATTCAATTAGTTAATAGTGAAAATTGAAATAAATAAATAAATTTAAATAATATTAATATTAATATTAGAAATAGAAATAGAAAAAGAAAGAAAAAGAAAGAAATGAGGAAAAAAAAAAAGGCAAAACTACATATGCAAATCCCTCCGGTCTCAATCCCACATCGGAAAGGGACGGAGGCTCCCATCCCCCTCTTCCTATTCTCGTTCAGGCGGTGGGTCATGGGTATTTAATATATCGTCGATATGGAGGAAAAATGTGTCAATGTCGAACCCGTCAACATGTCGAACCTCTCATTAAAAAATTCGACCCACCAATCAATAAATTCGTTTGCCCCACCTTACGTCCAAATAAGCACGTTTAGTCAATAAAATTCATTTGTCCCGTCAAAATAGCACATTTATGTAACTAAATATGTAATTATGTAATTATAACAATGATACGTCAATTTTTTTCTTAATAAATTTTAACTTATTAATATTTTTAATCTAAAGAAGGCTGTAAGGACAAAGAAAATTTTGAAAGGTCACGAGACCGGTATTTGGCACATTTAGCTTACATTTTAATTCTAAATAATAAATTAATGAAATAATTTACTTGGACAAATAATTGGGATGGAAAAATAAAAAATAAAAAGGTCAATATGTCAAATTCCTGTGAATACAATACATCATGTAAACAAACAAAAATGTTGAATTCCCATACATTACCAAAATTCCTAAATCATTTAATTACACACTCTTTCCACGATCTTTCCAAACCAAAAAAGAAGGAAAAAAAAAGATTTAGAAAGAAACCAAAACCAAAACCAAATGGGCACGTAAAACCCAATTTTCAATTACAAATTTACATATGTTCTTCAGAATCCACGAACTCTCCTTGTTCTCACTGACATTGGCTTCTTCTCCAGATTTAAGCCAAAGCTTGGCTTCTGAGTTTCCTCTGTGAGTTCTGGCTTTGTTTCTGTTTCCATGTCCAAGCCAGTTTCAACATTTGGAGCTCTCTGCTCCTCCATTTCACTGTCTTCTCTACTTGGAGAAAACGAAGCAGGCATTGAGTTCTTCACTTCTGCTGTGATTTTGCTGCCTGCTTCTTCTTCTTCTCTTCGATTTTGGTATTCGATTTCCTGTTTCGGTTTCGATTCTACCTCGGATTTCTTTTGCTCTTGTCTCTTATTTGTACTTCCAGAGCCAGGTTTTGGGGTGCTTGGATCATCAGGATCTTGTGATTGAGAGCGGGAGAGCTCCATGGCAGCTCTGGCAGCCGCTGCCGCCTGAGCGGCTGATTCGAAAGCAGCTTGAGCTGCATCCGCCACATCTTTGTACTTCTGTTTAGCTTGCATAGAACCAGATGGAACATCAGCAGAGAATTGCAAATTGTCCCCCACTTCAGCCTTAGGCTCCTGCTGGTAATTCTGCCTTCTGTTTCGGGCAAACTTTTCCTATGGTAATCAAGAACAGAATCCCAATCAATTTAAGAGAAAAAACGAAAAAAGTTTCTCAAAAGATCAAACATCCCCCAACATATCTATCAAACTCTTCTATTTTGTTTATATGAAGTTTCATACCTCATTGGAAAGAGGATGTTCATCGAGTTGCAGAACAATGTTATTCTCAGAAGCAATGGCTTCCAGCACATTCATTCTGCTCTCCAAATTTGGCTGCCTGGTAGACAGTTTTTGCATTATCTACAGAAATCAGAGCACAAGGTATGAATAATAATGAAACAGATCATGAAAAACAAAATGAAATCGCCAGAGAAAGACAAAATTGAAATCATAAAAATGAGAATACCGAATGATCGACTCCACAGTTGTTCCGTAATTCAACAGCACGAGCAGTGAACTCTTTGCCGAAGCGAGTGGTCAAAACCGATTTGATCTCTTGAAGTTCTGGAAAATCCCCACATCTTGAAGCCGCAAAAATCAGTCCCGATACTGCCTCTTTCAATTCCTCAGGGCATTCTCTGAATTAGAGCATAAACCAAACATTCAATCAAAACAGATCATAAAAGAAAAGAAACAGCAGGATGTTCCAGAATGTCGGACAAATCAGAAAACCTTTCTTGTTCGAGGAGGTCGGTCCTTTCGATCAAGAGATTGAGATAGCCTTCAATCAGAACATAAGCATCCAAAGCATTCTGCTCCTTAATCACTTGCTCAACCTACAAAACAAAAATCAACAAATTCAATTCAACCGACGAATTGGGGCACACAACACAACACAGATCAAATGAAATTTCAAAAGAAAAAAAAAACAATGGAAAGCAGAAATTGAATGCGAGAGAGAGAGAGAGACGAACTCGAAGGAGAGCGCGGTGGTGGTGGCCTAATTGGAGAAGTTGGAGGGCATCAGAGCGAGCTTGAGAGCGCCTCACATGGCGCTGGTTGGTGAGGACGGCGAGGCGAGAGAGGGCGAGATTGAGGAGCGGACGGAACTTGGAGGCCCTGAAATTCCTTCCGAGAAGAGCGTCGAGCTTCCTTCCCATGGCGTCGTCGGCCGGAGAAATGGAAGAAAAAGAGTGAGGGGATCGGCGCCGGTGGGGGTTTATATATGTTGTTGAAGCGCGTGGGAACGGGGCTTTGTGTGTGTTTCAGTTTTCTTACGGCCGAAGTCTCTCTTCGCCTCGTAAAATTTTGTTGGGAAAATTGTCCAACGCGCTTCCCGAACGTCACTACGGCCTTCTCAGAATCTCAGGTCCATGGAGACAAATTTTGGGTTTATTTATCATTTACAACCAATATATATATATATACTATAATTATGATTAACTTCCAATATCGTGATAGTACGTTAATTAGCATATATCTTCCATTAGAAGGTCGTTGGGAGTTTCTATTGAACCATACATTTCTATGATTCATCTTATTTACATTTTTTTTCCCTTCATTATTTTTACCTATCTTTTCTTTAATCAATTTTCTTTATTTTTATTTTTAATTTTATAGTTTAAATTAATTAATGTACGACTAATAAACAATTTTATGCAATTAATTATATTTATATATTACATTTAGATATACAATAAACTTTAATTAAATTATATAATATCTCAATTTATTTTTAACTCGTAAGAAATACGTGTGATGTACATGGAACTTTAAAGTTTTATTTTAAAGTACATAAAAATTAATTAAAATTATAAAATTGAAGATATTGGTTTCAGCATCTTACGGTTATTGTATGAATATTTTAGATATTCATATTATATTATACTAATTTTGTATAATACAAAATATTGATTTAAACATATTTTCTTTTCATAATTTATTTATTGTGCCTTTTACAATTCCTAATTATTTATTTATGTGAATATTTTCGTTAATTTTTTTTCATATGAATTTTTTTTATTGGAATTTAAATCAACACATACGATATTGTGTGAATGTCTACGTATTATATTTTATCATGATTTTTTATAACAATATTTTATCGTGATTAATTACAATTCTTCATTTATCTTCCAAAAATATCACAATATATTATGTACTTATAATTTTTTTTGTAATTATAATTTTTAAATAAAAAGTAATTAATTATTCAACAAATTTGAAACTTAATTTAAACATGTTAATGAAATTAATAATTGATTTATATAATACAATACATTATTTGTTCGAATTTGTTTCTAAAATTAGAGGTGGGAAAGTTACCTAAATTACCTACTATAGTTCTCGCCTATTTTTACCTCTACCGACCCAATATTATCAATGTAGCTCAAACATAAACTTCAGCTAATAACAAAGCCCGACTACAAGGATTTTGTATTTCTAAACCTAAAGGCACAAATTCAAGAAACCTATTTTCTCTCCTCTCTCTTCACGAGTGTATCGCCTTTCACTATTGTCTTCTTCTATCTAGTGCCGCTACTGTCTCAACAGCTTTTTCCTTCTGGCTCACCACTACCGTTCTCTCTCTCGATCTCGCCCCTAGCATAGGAGTTTAAAACAACCACATTCTGCGACCTCGACTACAACTGTTATGTCATCTGTCTTCCCTGTAACGACTTCTACTATGTCCTTTAGTTAAGTATGGTGAGAACGAAAATCTCACTTTCGCACAAGTTTTTTTAGTGCTCTCCCCTTTACATTTTGTATATACCTCACCCACTATGTGAATATATATCTTTCGAAAATGAAGAAAATGAAAGATTTTTTAGAAGTTAAATGGATTAAAGATAATGGAATATTAATGATTTCTAATTATAGTCGTTTTTTTTACAAATCTAATTATAGTCTTGATTCATAGTATATGGCAAAATTGAAATAGGAAGATGGAATACTTTTTTTTTTTAGGCAAAATACAAACAAAGTTAAGAACGAGATCTACAATCCACCGCCAACACCGAAGAGATCTCATTAGGCCATTCCTCCACCCAGATTTGAAGGTGAGGTGAAGTCAATGCCAGTTGAGCTAACAGATGGGCTGCGGCGTTGCCATTCCTATGTGTAAAACTAAAAGAAACCCTCGCAACATGAGAGAACAAAAAAAGCATGATGATAGAGCAGAGAGCCCCAACTTCAGAATCATTCACACAATCTGTCGTCAATAAATTAAAAATCCGGAGTGAATCTGTTTCGATCTGGAACCGAATAAAATCTGCTTCCACAGTAAGGAGAATACCCTCATAAACCGCGAAGCCTTCCACCCAATCAACATCACTAGCACGAGCAAGCGGACGAACGACTGTAAGATACACAAAACCGACCGAATCCCGAATAATTACACCCACCCCTGCTACAAAAGATTCCTTTCTGAAAGCCGCATCCACATTCACCTTAAGGAGAGGCGCTGCAGGAGGACGCCAGATAGCCACCCGAGGAGGACGACAAACCACTRGAGCAGAYSYAGAACTCCGTTGAGCCGCTTGATAAACCTGGAGGTAATTTTCCGACCAAGAAACAATGTCCGACAAAGAGCCACCTGACGAGAAATGTTGGGGAGTTTGATTACGCGCGTTCCAAATAGCCCACAACAACACCACAATAGCTCCAATATGCTGCCAAGAAACTAGATCCGTCCACACCCGCATAAAATGACCCACATCAGATCCCACCGGCACCCACAAAAGATGGAGAAGATGGGAGAATTTAGAACACTGCCATATAGATCGCACTTTTTTACATAACCAAAACACATGGGCTGCACTTTCCCCCTTTTGGCCACAAAACCTGCAGCAATTCAGAATATAAACTCCTTTGGCTGAGAGGTTCTCCCCCGTCGGTAAATGGCCAAGGCATAACCTCCATCCGAAAATATTAATTTTACTAGGGAGTTGTAGTTTCCAAAACCCCTTCCACCACTGTAACAGAGACTCGAGGGAAGAAGGGGAAGGCAAACCATGAACGATGCTGCGCTGTGCAAGACGGTACCCACTTTTAACATTGTATTGTCTCCTTTTGTCATAATGCCAAATGAGTTTATCCAGCAGACTAACACCAAGCGGAATATTCAGAATTGAGGAAGCCTCCTCATCGCTAAAGTGCTGTCGAATTTTCTCCACATCCCACTGATCTGAAGGTAATAGGAGATCACAAACTAAGCTATCCACAGATAATGAAGTCGGTGAGCGAATGTACAAAGACCCATCCATGGGAATCCAATTATCAGAATAAACTCTAATGGACTCACCGTTGCCCACTCGCCACCAAAGACCAGCACGAAGAAGATCCCGACCCCAAAGGAGACTCCACCATATGAAAGAAGCATTGGATCCTGCCCGAGCACTCAGAAAATCACCAGTCTTAAAATATTTGGACTTCAGAACTCGGGCAAGGAGGGAAGACGGGTCAGAGAGAAGCCGACACCCTTGTTTAGCTAACAAAGCCTGATTGAACGATTCCAGATCACGAAACCCCAAGCCTCACATACATTTAGGCAAACACATGCGCTTCCAGCTAACCCAGTGCAACTTACGATCCTCATCAAGTTCACCCCACCAGAAATGGCTCATCAACATATGAATTTCATGGATTAGGTTTTTCGGGAGGCGGAAACAATTCATTGTATAACACGGTATCGCCTGAATTACAGATTTCAAAAGAACCTCTTTACCTCCCACAGAGAAGAGCTTCCCTTTCCACCCTTGAAGTTGAGACCAAATTCGATCCTTAAGAAACTGCAGATGTCGTCGTTGGTTCCGTGGCATAAAAGTGGGTAAACCCAAGTACCGTTGGTGACAATCCTCTTGACGAACAGCGAGGAGTGAGCAAAGAGATTCTTGCAAGGAAGCCGACGTACTCCTACTAAACAAAACAACCGATTTGTCAAAGTTAATTGTTTGTCCCGCCGCTGTCTCATACAAAGTTAGGACGTCTTTAATCGTCTGACCCTCCTCGTAGGACGCCTTAAAGAAAAGGAGACTGTCATCCGCGAAAAACAGGTGAGAGATAGGCGGCCCGTAACGCGATAATTTTAGACTGGTGAGAGATCGTCGTGACTCAGCCCCAGACAATAAGCTAGAAAGACCTTGTTCACACAGTAAGAATAAATAGGGGGATAGTGGATCACCTTGCCAGAGGCCTCGACTTGGTTGCACAAGACCAACCCGATCACCATTAACTTTAAAAGAAAAGGAGACTGAAGAAACACACCGTAATAGCAACTGAACCCAGGTCGGCGCGAACCCCATTTTCAATATAATTTGTTCCAAAAAAGACCATTCAACCCGATCGTAAGCTTTACTCATGTCGAGCTTCAAAGCGGCCCACCCCGACTTCCCCATTCGCTTCCGCCGAAGAGAATGGATGCATAACCCAAAATGGCATTGTCCACCACGCACTGCCCCGGAATGAAAGCACTTTGGTGCCGGGAAATAATCTCATTCAGGATTGATTTCATTCTGTTGACTAAGGCCTTGGAAATTAATTTATAGAGGATATTGCAGAGAGAAATCGGACCGAAGTCTATAATACGACGCGACCGCTTGACCTTTGGAATAAGTGTAACAAGTGTCTTATTGAACGCCCGGGGAGAGACCTGATCATTCAAAACTTGTAGACAACAATCAACCCCATCAGAACCAACTATCTCCTGATAATTCCGAAAGAAAGAACCGGAAAGCCCATCTGGACCCGGGGCCTTGTTGGGATGAATTTGCTTGAGAGCGGTCACAATATCCATCTCAGTAAATTTACGCATTAGCATCTGATTCATTTTGTCACTAACACAACAATTCACATCTGCAATGGCACTTTGAATCACCTGAGGAGAAGGGCGGGAGGAAGAGAAAAGCCGTTCTAAATAAGACGAAATAATACCTCCAACTTCGTGAGGCTCCTGAACCCATAACCCAGAAGAATCCTCCAGCCCAATGATAGTATTCATCCGCTTTCGAAAAGAGGCGCTGTTATGAAACCACCGCGTATTTTTATCCCCCCATTTGAGCCAGCTTTCACAAGACCGCCGATGCCAATATATTTCTTCCCCAATGAGCAAATTTTCGAGGGTGGCCCCCTCTTGAAAGGTGATAAAACGCCTCCTTGCCTGGAAGCCGCTTGAATGCGACCTCCATAGCCGCCGACCTTCGCTTTCCTCCACCGTTGAAGTGTCGACATACAATTGTTGGTCTTTTAGGCTAGGCTGTCGGGGAGCGAATTCGAAGCAGGGGAGTGAAATTATTCTCTTAATGACTAGAGAATATGCTTCTCATTAATTTTCCATTATTACATCAGTAACAGAATACAACAATAGACTTCATATAAAACTGAAACTTGTAACAGAATACAACAATAATTAACCACTTTATAACAATTACAACTCATCAGTTATTATCCCCCCTCAAACGGTTGTTGGCTGAAGCAGTAGTTTGGATCGAAAATAAAACAAACGAGCAGAAGTGTGAGGTTTGGTGAAAAGATCTGCAACCTGATGAGTTGTGGGAACATAACAGAGCGTAATGTCTTTACGCACAACAAGTTCTCTGACGAAATGAAAGTCGATTTCAACGTGTTTTGTTCACCCATGGAAAACAAGATTTTTTGCTAACTGTATAGCAGAAGCATTATCACACCAAAGAACAGGTGACTGTGTGCTAAATACATGAAGATCCTTCAGAAGTTGACGAACACAAAATAGCTCAGCAGCTGTTGAAGCCAAACACCGATATTCAGCTTTCGTAGAGCTCCGAGACACTGTGGATTGCTTCTTAGATCCCCACGAAATTGGATTAGAGCCAAGAAAGATAACAAAGCCCGACGTAGATCTCCTATCATGTGAGTCCCCTGCCCAATATGAATTGGAAAAGGCATGGAGCCTTAAGTTTAAAAGAGTCCCGTTGAAACATAATGCCGAATTGAAGAGATCCAGATAAATATCGAAGGATACGCTTGGCAGCAACCAAATGAGACTCACAGGGAGCATGCATAAATTGGGAAAGCTTCCCAACTGCAAATGTGATGTCTGGCCGTGTAAATGTTAGATAGTGAAGGGATCCTATAAGACTTCGATAATTCCGAATATCTTCAGCTGAGCAAGAAGCACCAATATCAGTAGTGGAAGACAAACTCATGGGAGTAGTGCAGGGTTTAGCAGACAACATCCCAAATCGTTGCAAAACATCTCTGGTATATTTGGCTTCATTGATAAACAAGCCATTATTAGTATAAGAAATTTCCAACCCCAGAAAATATTTTAAAGCCCCCAAATCAGTCATTTCAGCTGGACTATAAGAGAAACAATATATGATGGATCACTCCCAGTAACTATAATGTCGTCAACATATAAAAGGAGATAGGTATAAGATCCATGAACAAGTCGGACAAACAGAGATGAATCTACAGAAGACGCCACAAACCCGAGTGTTAGCAAATGTGTGGTGAAACATTCAAACCAAGCACGAGGTGCTTGTTTGAGACCATATAAAGATTTACGTAACTTGCAAACATAAGAAGGATTTGTAGGATCGAAAAAACCTTGAGGCTGCTACATGTAAACTTCCTTTTGAAGTTCCCCATGAAGGAACGCATTCTTGACATCTAATGTCGAAGTTGCCAACCAAAATGAGTAGCTAAAGACAAGATAATTCAGACAGTTGGCTTCTTTACAAGATGTTTCGTCAAAATCAACACCTTCTTGTTGATGAAAACCTTTGGCAACAAGGCGAGCCTTATACCTAGCAATGCTGCCATCGGGATGTCTTTTAATTCTATAGACCCATCTTAGAAGCCTCGGTATAAGAGGATGGTTCTTCAGACAAATCAGAAACATGAGCAAGAAATAATTTTTTCTTAGAGATCTCAGACTTGCTCCTTGTTTGCATAGGATGCACATTAGTGGGTGCAACAGAGGTTCTAGGACTAACACCTTCCAAGGCAACACCCGTAGTAGTATTACATGAGCTAGGATCAGTAGCTTCAAAGGCAGCACTAACATTCACATTGTTATTAGACATATCTGAATAATCTGAAGAAGAAGAAGCAGTGAAAGAAGGATCAATCGAATCAATAGACTCATTTGATGGTGACATTAGGAATGCCAAAAGAAGAGGATTAACAAGGGAAGATGAGGATGATAAATCATGAGTAGAAATAGACACAGGTAGATTAGCAAATGGAAAAACAGATTCGTCGAAGAGAACATGTCTGGACGTGTATAGTCGCCCGATGCTCATATTATAACAAAAGTAGCCTTTATAATCCAAAGGATAACCAAGAAAGACACATTGGGTGGACTTAGGTTGAAGCTTGTGAGAGTTGTAAGGCTTAAGAAGTGGATAACAGGCACAACCAAAGGTTTTAAGAAAGGAATAGTCAGGTTATTTGTGAAAAAGAAGTTCAAAAGGAGATTGATTTCCAAGATAGGAAGAAGGAAGACAGTTTATAACAAAAACAGCTGTTGCAAAGGCAAAAGGCCAAAACTTGATAGGTATAAAAGCTTGAGACATAAGGGTTAAAGCGGTTTCAACTATATGTTGGTGCTTTCTCTCAACAACACCGTTTTGTTGAGGAGTATTGGTGCATGATTTTTGATGAAATATGCCACTTTGTTGTAAAAAAGTTCCAAGAGGATGATTCACAAATTCACCCCCACCATCAGTCCTAAGTATTTTGATGCTAGAGTTTAATAGATTTTCAACCAGAGATTTGAAATTCTTAAAGGCAGCAAACACACCAGATTTAAGAGGCAAAGGATAGAGCCAAGTATACTTGGAATAGTCATCAACAAAGGAAACATAATAGTTGAAACCATTTATTGAAATTTCAGGAGCAGGGCCCCATACATCAGCATGGACAAGTTCTAAAGGACGTAAAGACACACTAGTAGAAATTAGAAAAGGAAGCCGATGCATTTTACCATAGACACAATGTTTACATAGGCATTGAGAAGATTTACTGATTGGTAAATGTAAAGTGCGAAGAACAGAATTCAAAACAGAATCATGAGGATGTCCTAATCGATTATGCCAAAGGAATGAAGGCACCTGTGTTCCAACATGAGCAACCGGAGAGGCAGAGTTTTTGACAGGGGAATTCAAGTGAGCAGGAGCTTGATTTGAAGAAGACAAACAAGCATTTGATGAGATAGGATAGAGACTATTGATGCTAGGGCCTTGGTAGAGTATCTTGCCCGAACATTTGTCCTGGATGAAGAATTTATCAGAATCAAAGACAAAAAGGCAATTATTGTCAAGGCAAAGACGATGAACCGAGAGAAGATTAGAAGAGATAGTAGGTACATGAAGCAATTGAGATACAGTAAGAGAAGAAGAGGGAGTTTTAAGAATGCCACAACCTGTATGAGTAATAGGAAGAGACTGACCACTTCCCACACCGACTTGCTCCTCACCAGAATATTCAGATACATTGGAGAATTGACTTAAATCTGCCGTGACATGTGCGTTACAGCCAGAATCTGCAAGCCATGGAGAATTTATAGTAGCTAGGTGAGCATAATTTTGAGAAGCTACCATTGCAGCCAACTAAGCAGGAGGATGTCGTCCCTGATAACTATAGTTCATCCTATTGTAATAGTCCAACGCAGTATGTCCAACACGTTGACAGATTTGACAAACAAGTCTTTGAGAGAAACCATCTGAGCTAGGTCGTAAGTGCGAACCAAATGTAGAAAAAGATTGATTCGGTGAAAAATTACCAGGACCAACCATAAGAGACAGAAGAATTACCAGTATTTGCAGATTTACTTTGATTGACTGACTTAGATTTGCAGGAATAACCTCGACCACGACCAACATTTGGATTAGTGTTCTGATTACGAGGTGATTGTTGAGCAACTAAAAGAGCAGTCGGTGTAGAGAAAGCCTCATCACGTTTGACCTGTTTATCAATCGCAACTTCCTCTGATACAAGAAGTACATGAAGTTCACCGAAGAAGACCGGTGAAGAACGAGTTCGCATCGATGTGCGAAACGTATTATATTCGGCACGAAGACCATTTCATGTATAAATGATAAGATCCTCATCCTCAATAACAACCGAGATGTTAGCAAGCTTATCTTTAAGTTCTTTGACGCGTTGAACATACTGATCAATGGTCTCGGACGACTTCTTTACAATCGATTGGAGATTTGTTTTGAGATTCACAACATTCAATCTGGAATCCGATGAGTAATGCTTCACAAGCGTAGACCACACTTCCTGAGAATTTGCACAGCCAACAACAAAAGTTAAAGTAGTAGTAGAAAGTGTTGCATTGATCAAGGTCATTAGGGCATGATCCTTGGCGATCCAATCTTCATACGCTGGATTAGGTTGAGTAGAATCATCGTTCAGAAATAGAGATGGCTTCTTGGTTGAACCATCAACAAAGCCGAATAACTTGTGCGCTTTTAGAATCGAAGTTAACTGAAACTTCCATAGAACAAAATTGGATGAATCGAGTCTAATAGAGACAAAATTGCGTATATTGGACAGAAGAAATATTGGAGAAGCAAGATCCTTCGAGATATTGGATTCGCCATGAAAACTCACTGCAAGAAGAGACTTCACCGCAAGAAGAAACAAGAAGTAATAGAAGCGGACACGTGGTTTTGGATCGAGACGTGGGTCAATAGAAGTCTGATACCATGAAATTATTCTCTTAATGACTAGAGAATATGCTTCTCATTAATTTTCCATTATTACATCAATATATAAAGACTTCACATACAACTGAAAACTTGTAACAGAATACAACAATAATTAACCACTTTATAACAATTACAACTCATCAGTTATTAGGGAGAACCAGCCCCGAGACATCACTGATTTACAATCTGGAAAAGTTATCCATACATCCTCAAACCGAGGAATTTTATTAATGTATTTCCGAGGTACAACCGACATGTTTGCAATTTGAACCTCAATGGCCCTGTGATCAGAGAGAAAAAAGTCCAGGTTATGAACCAAAGAGTGTGAGAACAGAGTCTGCCAGGGAGAATTACATAAACAATGATCCAGCCTCTCGAAGATGGTTTCCCCATCCTCACGCCGATTAACCCACGTAAAACAATCACCAGAATAACCCATATCCATCAAGCCACACTCATCTATGGCTAGTCGAAAATTCAATAAAGCACTGCCCGGCTTTGTGCGTCCCCCAAGTTTTCTCATGATGGTGAATAATCTCATTAAAATCTCCCCTGATAAGCCATGGTACATCATCACTCCCACGGAGGTGTTTCAATAGAGTCGAGGTGGCGGGGCGCGAATGTTCAACAGGACTGCCGTAGAAACCCGTGAGACGCCACTGAGTGCCACCATGGTCCACCCAGCCGTTAATATGAGAGGCAGAGAAAGAAATCAATCTGAAATTCAATGCACAATGCCACAAAAGCGCTAACCCACCGCTTCGACCTACACAATCCACCGAGATACAGCCAAAAAAACCAAGTTGCTGCTTAATAAAATCCATTCTGTCACGCCGAGATTTTGTTTCTGACAAGAACACGAACTGGGGTTTTTTTAATTGTACAACCTTGTACAATTTGCGGAATGAACGGGAAAATCCCACTCCCCGAACATTCCAAAATAAACCGATCATAATGAACGGCGGGGCTGGGTACCAGCCGCTGCCAGAGGAGAAGAAGAACAGATATTGCCATGACCCCCGAGCCGTCCAGCAAAATCACCAACATCAGAAACCTCAGAACAAAGCTTTTTAGAAACAGGAGCACCATTCTGCCCTTCACTGTCACTGTGTAAACGCTTGCCCAGCACCTTCTGATCTAACGGAGTGGGTTGCATTGGCCCCTATGTGTTGTCACGTGCAGCTCTCTTCCATTTATTTCCACGTGGCCCTAAAAGATGAGGTGGCAGCAAAACTGGTCCACTATGTATATTTGATTTAGGTGGGCTAACCAGTGCAATATGCAGCCCAAATCCTTCCCACCACCTGGAGAACACGTAACTGACAAAGGCAACCCCCCACCATCAACCTGTGCATCGTTGTCAGCTAAAATAGGAGAACGTGGTGGTGGGGATCCTCTGCCCGACGAAACCAACGCCACTACCGTCGACTCACCCACCACCGGCTGCGAAGAAACCCCAGGTCCAACCTCCGACACCGCGCCCACAACTATCGGAACCCCCGACAGCACCTCCACCGTTCCCGGACTCCCCCGTTCAACCCCCGCATCACCCACCTGACTCCCCTCCCCAACACTGGGCGCTCAGTTGCCCGGAATGGTGAAGCTTCCCCCGCTCGAGGGGTAGAGTG